TGCGCAACCATACCTTATAACCATAAGTGATCTAGGGATTTTATCTTAAGTGCAATTATAAGATAAATGCTTTCTCTTAAGATAAAGAAATGCCTTATTCATAATATAATTCCAATAGACTGTATTTACAAGTAGAATACGTCCAATTAGATTGGAACGCCGGGTACCCTACTCTAACATCAGCGTTCTCAGAAAGCATTTTTGTTGGAGAATCGAAAGGAATTTATTCAACCACAAAGGAAACAAGACAAGAGATAAAATCTTACCGCGAAATTGCAAACCCTAAATGACCAGAGCACGGGAATTAATCAATCACGCCGACTCACGGAACGAATACAAAGAAAATTAGTGAGTTCGAAGATTTCAGAAGTAAAATTGAAGAAAATCAAATTTCCAAATATTTATATAGCCAATTTTGTGACCGTTGGAGATCGAAGAGGGGAGCGTGTAATGGACGCGTCTCTTCAAATGAAACGATTCATTGCCCTACATTAAGACAGATGGACCAATCAGCGGAATGCACGTGGGACTGCTGTTTATATCCGTTATACGCATTAAGTAGAGGCATGCCTTTTCGTAACCGCCGGTTCTATCTGTGACTGTTACGCCATTTCAATTTAAAGAAGAAAAGGACCAAATTTCCATTAAGTATTCTGACGTCGGAATAACGGCAGACGTCGGAATGGACATCAAAATCCACTCAGGTCGGATTTCACGTGTATAAAACTGACATCAGCAGCCATCACTACTCGTATGCATACTAATGTCGGGGGCTTCTATGTTGACAATCGACTTGATAAACCTAAACTTAACAAGAAGATTATCGCTTAAATCAGTTCACGCGCATCTTAATGCAACTTGGTACAAGCCCAACTCCGGACCGACTTCACACTTAGATATAAACCGACTTCACCATTAACCGAGGTCCCATCTCAAACCCAAGATCAGTAGCAGGTGGCAAGGTACCTACGCGACGGAATCTTGACCGCATAAATTGTAATCATTACTGCGTGCTCACCAGCAGACAGACCGCTTTTTGAAGCTACTTTGCATTAAATGCAATCACACTTACCTCGTATGTTGGGCAAAGCCAAAGCCAAAGCCACTATAAATAGCGCACAATTCATTATTGTACGGGGATCTTTTTATACGCATTCAATACGCTTATGCAAATCACCTTGGTTCATGTGAAAACCGACTTCCTGTAACACAAAATAGTCATACATTAATACAAACTTCTCACATTTTACTTATCAACTATGTGTTTTATCGTTGTTAAGTTTCATATAACAACAATATCTTAAACACGAGGAGATAAATCAGGTAATTATAATTGGAGCCTTGAATATAAGTCGGGATGATAAGGGAGTGCAATAATGTTTTGTTAGCGAACCGAAATATTATTTAAGTTATTGAGCGGAGTGGGCTTGGCCCACAAACTTAAGAAGCCCACATCATTACCTCCTTAGGGTCCCTATTGTATCCTATAGATACATCACATCTCTTGGGATTAGGGATTAACAAGAAGTTGAACGAGATTGAGAGTTCCACACGGCTTGTAGCCGCCGCCTCCTCTTCTATTCTCCTCTCTTCTTCTTCTCCAAGTAATCCTAGTGGAGGATCTCTGAGATCGTCGTCCATCTAAATGATCGGAGAAGATGTCGAGTCATACAACAGAAGGTCTGAGGTAATTCATGGCCAATATATATATATATATATGTTTAACCGTGTAATATATATATATATATATATATATATATATATATATGTAATTTCGTGAAGATCCAAAGACCACTGGTGACCATCTTCCGACAACCGATGATCAGCCCCGACTTCCTGCAGACCTTGGAGGCACCAGTCGCAGGCCAGTCGCGCGCAGCACCGCAACGGCCCAAGAGAGACCCGTCGGCACTGTTCACATCCGCGCGAGCACCACAGACACCCAGAGACCTGCATTCTGTCGCGTTCAGGTACTTCCCAACGCGCAGGCATACGGGCGACCCACATGAGCAGCCGGCGTGCAACCCGCGCGTGGCCCGCGTCAAGACCACACTTCGCTCAGCTTCTCAAGCGGCCCCGCGCGTAGTCCGTAAGTGTTCAGCACCCAGCACGCAGCCCACACGCATCAAACAGGCCCAAAAAAGCCCAGTCCAGCCTAGACATGACCAGCGCGCTTCAGCTCGAGTCCAGTGCACTAGACCCGATCCAGGAGTCCCGACGAACCCACGGTGAGTCTCGGGCGATTCGTCCAAGCCACTGGAGGTCCGAGACGGTCCCACTGGCTCGATGAGGCGATCGCAATGGGACGAACACCGATGTGCGGTTTAGACGATCTCTATTAACGGAAATAAAAAATATCTCAGAGTCGGCAAAATATTGAATGGTACGTGTTGAACCCTCGTTTCTAGTCCCGTTGTGCTTAGGGTTTAATTCACAGTTGTCCGTAACTGGCATGAACTCGACGATCCTCACCAAGTCCCAACAAGTATGTCATTGATCATCACACCCGATCAACACTCGAAATAATGTTCTCTCAAAAAGAAAGGGGATCTGAGAATAGGCCTAATTGGATGACCCTCATCCGCTTATACTTGGAAAATGATGTTTTGCCCAGCGATTTGCGCCGAAGCTAGAGTCGTTCAGACGCGCGCCACTTGTTTCACTATAATTGACGGGGTACTCTACAGGCGAGGATATTCCCAACTTCTCCTCAAGTGTATCGATGGCGACGAAGCCATAATAGACGTCCTTCGAGAAATCCACAAGGACATATTAGAAAATCATTATGGAGGTCAGGCGCTAACGAAAAAAAAAAAATCTTTCTCTCTCTAAAAGCAAAATCCCTCTTTCCGTAAAACCCTAAAAATCCACCCGTCCATTGCCGCCGCCTCCCTTCCGCAGGCGCCGGCCTGCCGCGACGATGGCCTCACTGTGGGATCGGAGTATCTCCTTCCCCGACGGCCCCTGCAGATCGGCGAGGCATTTCTCCAGTCCAGGTGGCCTTGGCGGCGTTTTCAGCAGGGTCCCGGCGAGGTTGGTGGGCTCGTGGTCGCCGTCGTCGTTTCGCTGTCCATGGGCGGACGGCGGCTGAGTTTCGCGGCGGTGTAGTTCCCCTGGTCCATCCCGCCTCCTGGTGCTGGGGCGGATGGTCCGACGGCGGGGGAGTTGGGATGCCGGTGGGAGGTTTCCGACTGCTCCCGGCGGTTTGGTGTTGGGGGGGCTCTCTATGTGAAATTCGGGGTGAAGGTTGTGGTGGTTCCGGTAGAAGGATGTCTGGCTCGCCCAGGTTTAGTTAGGCCTCGTTCGTAGATTGCAGTTTCTAGATCTGGTTTGTCGGATTTCTTTTTCTCCTATC